GAGGAACTTTTTCTCTGCTTCCCCTGAAAATTTCATTTCCCCCCCACCCGTTTGGGCTGTACCAGGGGTCGAAAGTCAAAACTTTGACAGCCCCCCAGGGTTTCCCAGGGGAAGGGGGGGATGGAATTTGTTTTAGATTGACAAAATTAAAAGTTCTAAGTCCCTTGAAAACAAGGGCGGTTTAAAGGGGGGGGTAGAGGGGGTAATTACCCCCCCCCAGACAAATATTTTTTTTAATACATTTAATAATTACAACAAAATTTCAACAAAAGACAAGTTCTAAAAAGTAAATCATTAAAGGCATTGTATAAATTGATAGGCTTACGAGTATCCATGGGCGTTGTTACGAGGTTTCTCAGGGGGGGGGGGGGCAGCACTATAATAATATCATTCCCAATAGCACCGCTGGTAACCGCCGGAGGCGAAATTTTTTTTGGTGCTACTTCCCTTTTTTGAACATTTTAACGTACTTATTTGATATCGATATATAGTTAAAAATGATGGTATTTTTTTCTGCGACAAATTCACTGTCCCCATCGTTTGTTTAAGGTAAGTTTACACTTGGAAAGTTTACTAAGGGCCAACTGACTGGCACTAGAGAATAGAAAGTACCTGCTAGGTAACAACCAGACACTCACCAGTTGGTCCATAATTTGGCCCTAAAGGAAAGTACTTGCTGCCACTAAACTTGTCATATGTAAACCACAGGAAAGTGCACTTGCTACTTGCCGGCAAGCGCTTTCCAAAAGTTGATGGACCGGCTAGTTTACTTGCCGCTACGCCAAATTTCTGTTTGTACCTAACGTGTGTAAACGGGTCACAAAAACAGACGTCCACGTTTCTTATGAAACAGACGTCCACGTTTCTGTATGAATACCTACTACAAGGAAGCAAAACTATCACCAGTGGCAAGATATCGTAATGTGACTTCCAATTTGATTTTAGGAGAAATAAGACTTCTAATCTACGTTTCTGACTTTGTCAGTTTAGGCTCGGTTCAACTAGTCTTGACGGTTCTTGAAATTTTTGGTATGAATTGAATTGAATTGATATCTCCTTCAAGAGTCGTTTCGACGCACCCAGAAGAGTGGGTACTTCTACGTCTGATCCAATCTCTAACCCAAACTCGTTTTTACCTATTTTTTTTTGCGTTCTAGCACGCACTACCCTACTTGGAGCCATTTTATTTTCTACTGTTTGGCAAATACACTTGAAAATATGTAAACAAAACAATGAATAAGTTTAGTGACGGCAAGTACTTTCCAAGTGTAAACGTAGCTTTAGGTAATTGTCTTTACGCCAGACTATAAAAAAGGTAGGTACCTAACAAATTTTGAAAAAATGGAAAAAGCAATACGAATACGAACTATCTTTTACTTCTTTCTTGTTCAAAAGACTATTTCTAGGCGGGGCTAGGAGGGGGCAAATGCCCCCCCTTGCCTCCTCCAAACGACGCCCATGCGAGTATCGACGTATACGTACCATCGTCACCAAAAGTAACTGGGACAAAAATAATTCATATTTATTTCCTGGACTATTCCAAGTTAACCTAGATAAACCTAAATGTATTCATAGTTTGATAAATACCGGACATCTGAAGTTATATAATAGTACAAGAGCTAATATGATGCTGTCCCAGTTACTTTTGGTGACGATGGTACCTACTACTATACAGTGAAAAAAAGGGTATTCCATTTGGAAAAAAATTAGTTATGGTTGTTTGGAATGCCTGGTTTTGTGTACAGTATTGCGAACACCCTGTAGAATTTTACCAGATTTTCATATAAAATAACAAAGTTCTGACGCATACTTCATTTATACAGAGCACCCTGTATATTCAAAAATATTTTTAACTAATTAGATTGATTCTTGGGTAACCAGGAGAAAGAATGTTTTAATTCTTAACCCACCGTTCCTATACCCAAAAATCAATCTAATTATGTATCAAAGAGACGAAACCTCACCAAATTTTTAACTACCTAATGCTCCTTAGACAGTCAAACAACTTTGTAATTAATTAATTTTTTTTTTCTTGCATCACCCTACATAAGGATATATTGTTTGAGTCCGATATCGCACTAAGTGGCACCCTGTATAACTATTTTGACGGCATCGGGATACATTTTTGCCAGAGGCGTGTTTTTAAACGACTTTTGGGTGCAAATTGGGCGTGGCACCCAAAAAAAATTTTGCCTCCGGGGGGAGCCTTTCCGCGCTTTTCGGTTTTCCCGTCATCCGTTACCCCCCCCCCAGAAAATCATCTATGGACCGCCACTGCTTGAAAATGTCAACTTTCTAGCTTATCGGGAACTACAACATCGGCGCGCGCGGTCAACTTGGTCGTTGGATTGACGGCAAACTATTCACAGTAGATGAGTGTTTGAGCACTCATTTTGTAGGTAATTTCAAGTACTTCGGAATGGTATTTAAGCAGTATGCGAAAAAAACCTACCGGTTTCACGGTATTCACGAAAAACCAAAAACTACCCCCACTTTTGACCTTTGATCGGCCATTGTGATTCACCTAATTGTCCTATGACCTTGATTTTATTATCATTAGATAGATAATTTTATTTCCCACAAATTTGATCTCTCGGACTTGACGGTATGGGCAATAACACCGGAGGTATGGAATTAAAACGAACTCAACCCTACATAAAGAGGGGGTAGTATCTTCCCCCACCCCCTCGAATACGAAAACTCAGTTTTAGACTCAGGACATGCCCCCGAACACACCCTCAAAATTTCAGCCATTAAGTATTTTTTTTTAGTAAAATATCCCTATATCCCCTGTATAAAGTTAGGATATTTTTCTTTCTCAAATTAAGATCTGCAGGGATCTCTATTGTTAGCACCACAGATGTACCTGAGAGCCCGCTTCTGTAATGTAAAAGCAGAGTCCAAAAAATTCTGTTTACAGTAGCCCCAAAAGCAGATACCATTATCTTAGCTTTGACTCAATCACGCAAGGAAAAAAAGTCCGATCTGGACGGACAAGGAATGTTCCAGTTCAATGGCCGTTATTCTGACTGCAAAACACCCAGATGATATTTTCTCAGACTCAATCTGAGATTTAAAACTCAATTCACTGTCAATAATAACTCCCAGAAACTTAGTCTCATGTCACTCGAAAGGAACTTTTGGAGAAGATCTACGGGAAAATCGAGAATGCAAAGAATGACAAACGAAAGAATCAGAGAAATTATGCAAGTAGAAAAAAACAATAGAAAAAATACAAAAAAGACAAGACATGGATGGTCACATAGAAGGAATAAATGACGAACGGCTTCCTTAACTAGTGATGAAATGGACACCCCACGAAAGAAGGAAACGAGGAAGACCTAAAGCAACATGGTTCGGAGGAATACAAAGAGTCATGTCGGAGCGGAAATTAGAATTACATCCAGGAGATTTTGAAAGAAGTCTGGTCGACATTCCATAGGAACATTGAACGTTGGCGACTTCTAGATCGCATCTAAATGACAAAATATTTGTTTCAAATAAATTTAGCACCAGAAGATTAGAATCCCACCAAGATTTGAGCTGCTGAAGAGCTACGAGAGTAGCTCGTTTTAGACTCTGATGGTCAGCACAGTGCCATAGAATTGTGGTGTCGTCTGCAAGGAAATTTCCCGGTAATATTTAGTGAAGCAAGGTCATGAATTAAAAATAAATAAGGACCCAGTACTCTTTCCAAAAATTGAAAAACCGCATCACCTGTATTGCGATGTTCTCGAAAGCCAAATTGAGGAGAACTTGGAACATTGTTTGTATTTAAAAATGAGATCACTCTACTTTCAACCAGCTTTTCTACAATTTTGGATAGATTAGAAAGTAGTGATATGGAGCCAATAATTAATAAACCAATAATTAGAGGTATTTCCCAAATCTCCGCTGTTGTGAAATAGAATTACTTTTGCCAGCTTAAGGCATGAAGAGAAGACACCAGACTCCCAAGATAAATTGTTTGCCTGTACCAAAACATCCAAAACTTTATCATGCAAATTTGCAAATAATTTTATAGGCAGACCATCGTCCCCAGAGCTTTGTCTATTTTTAATACCTGATATAATCTGTTTTAACTGCTCCAGGATAGTAGAAAAAAAGTAAAAGGAATTATTGACCCCTGCATTATTTGAAACGAAACTAAGTGGATCAGTGTATCGAATAATATTTTTGGTCAGGTTTTCTGCCATGGAACAGTACACTTTGTTGAATGAGTCAGGAGACATGTCGCTATCATTAATGCTTGGTGAAAAATGGCTTTTTTAGGAATAGCGTTTATAATCGACAACTTTCCCTTTGTTTGTTGAATGCATTGCATTTGCAAGATGATTGGGAGTAATGTAAAACTTTGGCTAACTTTGTACTAACAAAACCACCTCAATAGGAAGGTTCGGCATTTTTTGTTATTCTTATATTTAAACTGAAATCGTACCTGTACGCGAGACTAGGCTGCATGACGTCAGTAGCCAGATACGCCACATTAATTCGTATACTCTCCGTATAGACCTTTACGGAAACGCTGATCCGATTAACCCAATTACCAGCTGATGTAATTAATTTGTCTTTTTTCAATCGTGTTCATTGAAGAAAGATGAAAAACAAACTCAAACAGCTTGTGTTCGTATCAGTGTTTTCGTGAAGGCCTATACGGAAAGTATATGAATTCACATGTCGTATCTGGCTACTGACGTCACGCAGCCTAGTCTCGCTTACAGGTACGTTTTTTATCCTGCGCCGATCGTTGATTTCAAACTGCTCTCAACAAGCGCAAATATTATTATTTTGCGCTCAAACTTTTTTTAATCGTTTTTTAATAACAAAATCTTTCAATTTAAGTTAAAAAATAAAAAAATGTCGAACCTTTCTATTCTAGAAAGCTTTATCGTCCAATCAAACAAAAAATCTTATTGATGAAGTAAATATTAGCCTCCTTGATAACACACATAAAAGCAATTAGGTATGAGCATGAATAAAGGCCAAATAAAAACACAAAATCGTATTTAAACCATTTATTTTACTAGAATGTTTAAATAATATCTTATCAAATAATTTATTACGAGTAAATTTGATACTGTCACAAAAAAAAAAACAGTCTATTCTTTTTCGCCCCCAGTTTATTTTTCACATCTCCTTAAAAAACAATTACGAATGAAAACTGATGCACACATGAAAACAGCACAATCCTTCAAGCAAGTGTTTCAACAGTTTTCCAGCACCATCTTGCCAATCATTGGAAAGTTTGCACACATCCATCAGTTTCCTTTTATCTTCCAACACTAAAAGCTGATAATCCTTTTGAACTATCACCAACAATGTGATGCTATACATGTAATTAGTTCAAGTATAAAGTTGCATGCAAGTAAATTCAGCACTTATTCTTAATAATACTGAAATTTTTTTTAAAACAAATAATAAAGTGTCAAACAGAATAACAACTTTTACGGGGAAAATATTACAATTTTCTTTAAAACCTACACAAAATCATAGACTTGAATACTACAAACAGCGAGCTTCTAAATTTGTGTCGTAAAAGCACTTAATATTAATAATCTTAGGGACCTATATACACCCACAGACAACAATATTGCTTTAGATTTTTTTATTTCTGTTGCTTACAACATAGAGTTTTAGAACAATAGAATCAATGAGAATAAACAGAAACAAAGAGTGTAAATTTAAAAAAAAAACAATATTATTGTCTGTCAGATATTAAAAATTGCTCTTGACATTACACATCTATTCATAATATTTAAGCCTATAACAAAACATATTTTCGTCTCCTTTTTTTTACTTAACATATTGCATCCCTCCGAGACCATTTTGTTTAAATATCGCCATTTGGTGGCTCAGAACACCATTTTTTTTTTTAAATAATTTTAGTTCACAGGCCAAAAGTTAGTCTGCTTTTAACCTGCAAACCAACACCATTACACTAACAATAAATCCTCGTCATTTCGATTCACTTATTTAAAAAATTAATTTCTAGGAAGTTACCTACTAAGAGAAACGTGAGGATGGAAAAAATTAGGTAGGCAAAAAGCTACAAATAATTGGAGCCTTTTTTAAAATGTCACTTTATATGGGAGGTTTTATTTCACAATTATATATATTTTTTTTCTTGTGGCCCGTTTTACGAGACCTGCGTAATTTTTGAATTATACTTTAAATCGAATATACAACGTTATTCACATACACGAAGCTGAGTTAGTAAAGTTTATGTTTTGCCTCTCGACAAAACGAAGTTCTCTATACACAATAATAATAAATTACTTTTATATTACTTACACTTGCTGTATAGTTTAACACAATTTTTTTTCTGCGCGAACGCTTTTAATTTATTTTTTTTTTCTTCTAAAATTGCGTGCTTTTGACTTTTTTTACATCAAACAAAAAACCGTTTTGGTGCTTAAAATAAGTTTTAAAAGTTCCTATTCCTTTAGAACCGTGCTGTCATCTTTTAGATTATCCTTGGCTAAATCAGCGTTTACAGATTTCTGGGATGTCGGGTCAGGAGTTTTGGAGTCCTCGGATTTATCATTATGATTGGTAGGCAATGAACTACCTAGAATAATCACAAATACAATAAATAATTTATTGCGATCCAAAAAATCTCGTACTCACTCTGTCCGCCATAATATTGTCTGTTGGGAGCCTTATTCGAATTGTTTCTGTTATTGTGCTTCGGATTGCCGGAACTGTTATTTTGCATCAAATTTTGCTGCTGGAAATTTACGGGCCTTTGAATTGGGGGCGGGTACCGTTGCTGGACCTGGAAATACACCTAGATAATTGCTGCTAATTATTATCTGTCATAATCATAATTCGTACAAATATATCTACATACAAAAGCAGTTTGACTTAATTTATCAGTTTCTTTAACCAAAATATAGTCGAGAATCTGATGTCCAAAAAGTGGCAAGGGGGGCAGCAGCCGAGGGTATAAAGTTGAAAACAATTGTTTGGAATGTAAAATCATATGCTGGATTTGATTTTGGGATTCCCCCTCAAATTAGGACTTGTGAAAAATAGTTATTTATGCAACAAGTGTGTAAAGTGAACCTTTTTTCACGAATGTGAATTTTGACGCACGAGCCGGAGGCGAGTGCGACAATCACATGAGTGAAAAAAGGTGCTTTACGCAGGTATTGCATACAAAATTTTTTCTACTACCAATCAAATATGTGTAAAAAAATAGATCTAGACAAATACTTTACGAACTAGTGCGTGAAATATTTTCACTTTACGCATTAGTGCGTGAAGTAATTTACCAGAAAAATACTAAATTGATAATGTCGACATCTGTCATTGACATTACTTTACGCACCAGTGTGTGAAGTGAATTACTTTACGCACTAGTGCGTGAAGTCGAATTTTACGTCTTCTGAATAGTGCGTAAAGTGAGTACTTTACGCACGGTAGAAAAAATATTTTTTAGAAAATAGTTCAATCGGTATTTTTTATTAAAAGTTTTGTCATTACTTCATATCTCATGTATTTATGCAGTTATCCACATGAATTTTTCAGGAATTGTTCTTACATATTTCCTGTTGTATACTGTTTGTTCTAAAGTCGCTTTGCCTCAGTCATTTGTTGGTAAAAAAAATATAAACTATCGCTTTCCGCAAGAAAAATTGTTAACTGAAGTGTGAAATACGACATGCGAGAAACTTTTAAGGTTCAGGCAAATTTTTTTATTGAACAATTTTTTTGTTAAATGCTTTGTTGTGCTATAAACTAATACCGAATATTGGTGCGTCGGTTGGCGCTAAATTGTCAGCCTATTCATATCGACTTGCAGCGTGCAGATTATCAGTGGCAGTGAATATGTGAAATGTAGGTAGTCTACATAATAATATAGTCAACCATCCAAGGACCTTTTTTTTCAGTTATACATGTAAACCCCATACTTTGTGAGTGGCTTGCTTACATCAAGTCCTACAACTTTTTCTCTACGACTTTTCTCGGAAATGGCACGTATGCGCGCAGGCGACTCGCAAACATTTTAGGGGTATCGGACTCCCCCAATTTGCCATTATTTTTGTCGGCCAAGTTGATTTCCGTGATTTAGACATAAAAATCAAACAGTATTCGTAAAATTAGATTTACCTACATGTATCAGGAAACATAGCTACGTCAGATCGACATGTTTGCGAGTCGCCTGCGCGCATACGTGCCATTTCCGAGAAAAGTCGTAGAGGAAAAGTTGTAGGACTTGATGTAAGCAAGCCACTCACAAAGTATGGGGTTTACATGTATAACTGAAAAAAAAGGTCCTTGGATGGTTGACTAATATGTTCATTATAAGTTATAAATATCTGGAAATTCACATATGTATTCCACCTTCCCTGTTCAATTTTGTTTCATGGTTTCTCATCGACGCACCGGTAGAATTCACAGATGAAAAAATAACGATACTGAATACGCGTGATGAAGATAAGGTGGTAAATCCTCAGGTAAATCTATGTCAAGACATCAACCACAATAGTTGCGGAATAAAAACGCCAAAACATGTCGGATTGGCCATTCATGTCATAAAGCAAACAAGAATTAAAAATGTAGATGTGTTGAATAAATTCGGAGATTACATTAGTTATTCGGATGCTCAAAGGTACATTAATGATTTAGCTTTGCGTGTGAATGAAGAAGTGACTGCAAGAGGCATATTTTTACCGCATAATTTAGAACCGACGATTTTCATGCAGTATGCAATGGACAATTTGGACTTTAAAGAGCATAGAAAATACGAGAAAACAACCCGTGGCACTACTCACATAATGTATCAGAAACGATCAACTACAGCAAATCAGCTCTCTAAACGGATAATTACGAGAGTAGAGAAGACTGAACAGGTCTCTGAGGCAAATCAATGTAGCTGATATACAAACTTCTTCCAAGAACCATGATCTGTCAATAATATGGAACCTTGTCAACCTAAAATACGACGATGATGATGATAATACTTTTTTTCCGATAACTTGGTCGCAATTTCATGAAACATTTCTCCAGTCTACTGATACAATTAAAACAAACATTGGTTATGGTTAGGGTCCTCTTGTTAATCAGTCACCTACTAATATAGAAGTTCTGCAGCAGTCTATACAATACTTCATGAAAGTCTCAGAAGCAAATGGACAAGAGCTTTGTGTTATTACAGCAGACGAAGCGGTCTATGAAATCACAATTACTTTGAAGAAAAAATATTCTGAAGGATACAAGTCAGTTATCCCTCGAATGGGTGGATTCCTTTATATGTTTGAATTTTCTCAGGGCATTTGGGAAAATTATGGCGCATTCGGGGGTTGAAGATTTCCTTACAGAAGCCAAAGTTTATTTGTTAGGTACAGTGAACAAGATTATCAAAGGTGGCAAAGATTATTATGGAATGGCCAGGATCCACAAAATCATACATTCTGCAATTTTTGAATTGTACTGGGAGGCTTTTCTTGTTACCTACTTTAATATCGGAAGCTGTTCCCATATTGCGCAAAAACATGCTAAAAACCTCGACGAACCTTACAGATTTTTTTTTTTACAAAAAAATCATTTGCACTGGTCTAATGTGCTTTTCCTAAGTTTCAGCATTTCCGAATAACTAGGGAATTTTCAAAAAAATGTATTCCACCTTCCTTGTTCAATTTTGTTTGCCATCTGATAACAGAGTCCGAGCCAGTACGGCGAAAATTTGAAAACATTTCCCACTGAAACCCAACCGCCCTATATTGGATACAGTATATTGATATGATCCACCTACTCTTGTGGTATGTTTCTGCAGAACGTTCCGGACATTTTGAACAACATCTTGCTTGTGTGGAAAGTATGCTTCCCTACATGATAGCAGTAGGACATTACAAATATTCTTCCTATATTGTCAAGCCAAAGAATAACACCCTTTATAATATTAATAATATTAAAATTCGAAAGTTCATTGACATGTTGTATTGTTCTAATTTAGTTTCCTGTACAACAGGATAAACGATTATTACCAATATTGAGCAATACTGGCATTGCAATGAATAAGTAGACGCATCAGCGTATCAGCAAAAAACTTGGTGCAACGACCCAAGTTTGAGGAACCAATAATTTCTTGCTGACAATAGGAAATCGACTTGGATCGATTATTCCACTCATGTGTTAGAAATCCCATAAGACAAGTGACGATTTTCAGAATTACAGCGAAAATTCTCTTTTCCATTTGTTTAACTAGAGAGAATTACAGCGATAATTCTCCCATGTTATTGTATACATGGTTGTCATGCTAATTTTTGATACAAACAAACGGTTCCTGATAGCAACCATTTATTTGTATTGATTGTTAGATGTTCAAATCGTTTATTACATATTTATTTCCATATTTTTTGCATTCTCATACGTGAAATAATCCTCTAAATACCACTGGAAATCCGTCTTTCTGTAACGTTAACTTGAACTTTTCTCGCGCTCGATAACCCGGCGCAAGCTTTGTTATCTGCTTCAGCTTTTAAAGACCCAACTGACTAGAAAAATCGAATTATCGGGGATAATACCACTTGAGCTTTAAAATGAACCAGATAATTTTCCACTCATGCGTGTTTTCTCTGGAAATTTCACTCGTCCTACGGACTCGTGAAATTATAAAAAACACGCAATCGTGAAAAATTATCGGTAATTTCGAAGCTCTCGTGGTATTATCCCCGATAATTCGATTTTTCTAGTCAGTTGGGTCTTTAAAAGCTGAAGCAGATAACAAAGCTTGCGCCGGGTTATCGAGCGCGAGAAAAGTTCAAGTTAACGTTACAGAAAGACGGCTTTCCAGCGGTAAGTCATTTGTGAATTTGTAAACTCATCATTTTAAATTAATAAAATTATTCACGATACTTTCCCTTATTTTATTATTATTTATTTCATTTTGTGAGTAATAAATGAGCATTGTTATTTTACATTTCGTTTTCATTTTGGACTAGATCCCAAGTCCCCAGTCACGACAAAACAGGCTGTGACCAGGGTTGCCAGACGTCCCACCTTAGGAGGGACAGTCCCGCATTTTGTCAATCGGTCCCGCCTTTTTTTAATTAATTTCAGGTCCCGCTTTTCACGTGAATTGTCCCGGTTTTCCCGCTTTTTCCACCCAATCTTCACATTTAGTGCAAAAAACACGCTCAATTTACTTGTTACATAAATAGCTATTTCTACATTTAAAATCGACGCAATAATCAAATAACGAGCCTGAATCGCAAAAATTTCATCGAGGTCTGCGGATGACGTCACCAATATTAGCAGCTGGTGTGGTGACGTCACTCGCAGGCCTTGTGGACTCGAGAACCGGCGAACGTACGCCTTCTCAGGATGAGAAATCCTGTTAGTTCACGATTCTTGGGTTTTAATAATAAATGTTGTATGTTGTGTAGGTATAAAAATGTCAAAAATTCCAACAAAATCCAAATCTCATTGCACAAACAAACTAGCATCTGCAAAAAACTTTTTTTCTGGCCACTGAAAAATAGACAACTTTCGTCAAAAATCATTTTTTCTATGACCGTTAGAAAATAAACAACTTCGTCATATTTCACCTTAGCCGAAAACTTTACTTTCGTCACTAGTGGTAAAATATCTAGTGACGAAAGTGAATGATTAGGATTTTACATGTTAAAAACATTCTTTCAAATCCAATTATAATTTAATTTTGTGAAGCACAACGAAAGAACATAGTTTATCACAAAATTATTTAAATTTTACTCTATATAATAAAATAAAAGCAGAACATACAGACCAGAGACCAGAGTGGCAAAAAAGTAGTGCAGTGCA